CCTTCCTTCCTTCCTTCCTTCCTTCCTTCCTTCCTTCCTTCCTTCCTTCCTTCTTTCCTCCTTTTTGTTTTCAATACTAGGGATTGGCCCTGGAGCCTTGTTTATGCTAGGTCAGGGTTTACTACTTACCAACATCCTCAGGCCTTTTAGATTTTTATTTTATTTTGAGATCCAGGCATGGGAGTACATGCCCATAATCCCCCCATTTGGGAAGCTGAGGCAGAAGGATTATAAATTTGAGGCGAATCTTTGCTACATCATGAGTTCAGATTCAACCTGGAGTATTTAGTGAGATCCTGTCTCAAAAAAAAAAAAAAAAAAGGGTTTATTTTTGGTCTTTTAATTTTGGGGAAGGCTATTGCCCAGACTGGTCTTGAGCTTGTAATCCTCCTGACTCAGCCTCCCAGAACGCTGGGATTACAAGTGTGTGTCATCATACTCAGCTACCATATGCTTCTCAGTTGCTGCCTCTATTTTGGCTGAAAATTACTGTTTTGGGGCAAAGTTAATTAATTAACTGACTGGTTTATATATAAATAGTCAGAGCTAGACATGGTGGCACATGCCTATAATTCCAGCGTTTAGAAGGCTGATGTGGGAGAACTGCCATGAGTTCAAGGCCATCCTAGGCTACATAGAGAATTCAAGGTTGACCTGAACTACATAGTGAGACCCTGTCTCAAAAAACCCAAACCAACCCAAGATATATAGTCAAAAGCAGCATAAATAACCTTGTAAAGAAAAAACATTAGTAGCTATAAATGCATATGAAGATATGTGTATTGTGGAAGCACAAGGGTAAGTGCAGGTAGCTTATATGGACAGGATGGTGGAAGGTCCTGCAAAAATTGAGTCTGTGGATCATTGAAGGTGGCATCTCTAGAAGGGGGTTATACTTACAATCACTGGGGTAGACAATCTTAGAAGGGTGAATTGTCTTCAAGTCACTAAGCCTAACTTCCCTTAGGCCAGTGGTGGCAAACCTATGGCACGCATGCTGTAGCCCACTGTTTGTTATCATTGAAAGCTCTGAAAGGTTTGCCATCCCTGGTTTAGATGGTTAAATGGAACCATTGCTGCATTAGACTGGCACGCTATTCCCAATTTCTAACAACAATTTCCATTTTCCACTCTGAATTTTGCTGTTTTGATTGGGAGCAGAGGTTTTTTGCTTTTGTCTTTTGTGAGACAGGATTTCACTATGCAGTTCGGGCTGGCCTTGAATTCACTTTGTAGCCCAGGCTGGCTTCCAACTCACAGTGATCCTCCTGCCTCAGCCTCCCGAGTACTGGGGATTACAGGCATGTGCCACCCTAGCTGGCTGAGTTTTTTTTTTTTTTTTTTAAAGAACATGAAAGACACCAATCTTAAGATGAAAATTGAGAATGTATATTCATAAAAATATAGTATTTAAAAAGTGAACCCATTGAGGGGAAAAAGATATTGGCAATTCATACACTGGCAGAGGGTTCATATCTAGATTATATGAAAATATCTCCTGCAGACCAATGCAAGAGAGGAACAGGCAATTTAAATGCAGAGGAAATTCAGATGGCCAAAACAATAGACAATATGCTAATGAGTAATCAGAAAAATAAACTTTAACACAATGAACTATCATTTTGTATTCTTTACAAAAGCTAAAGCTAAATACTTATGATAACAACTGACAGCTCAGAGTGGAACTAAATGTCAGACGCAGTGGGAGGGCAGATAATTTGATAAACTAGTCTGGAAATTTTTGCATAATCCACTGAAGTTGAAGATACCCTTATCCTACTACCTAGAAACACTAATCAGAAGTAGAAACAATAGGATATTCATTATTACCATTACTACTATTGTGTTCCTGTGTGATAGGATCTTCCTTGGTAGCTTTTGTAGGTCTTGAACTCCAGATCCTCTTGCCTCACCTTCCCAGAGTGCTGGGATTCCTATGTGAAGCACCACACCTGGCTTTATTGCTGTGTTGAATAGTCTCAAACATGACACAGTCTGAATGCCCAGGGGAACTGTGATACGGTTATACAGCCATTCCCCGACACTTCTATGAAAATGGTCACATGGTAGTTACCCTAGAGGACACTGACGATGTTTACACGTAATATTGAGCAAAGCATGTTCATGCGCAATGTTATTCTAATTACTCAAAGAAAAGGTGACTTCATTAGACTCTAGGGGCTCCAGGATGGATATATAAGCAGCAAAGCCTTCAGGGATGAAAAGTGGTGGTGACCATAAACGCAGTCATCTGCTGGAGCCGGGCTGTGCTGGTCAGGGCAGCTGGTTGTGACATTTCTGCCCCAGCCTCTGCTGGTAGTTTGGAGTCAGCCATGGCTGGAATATTTACATCTGGGAAATCAGTACATTCTATAAATTTATTTTATTTTATTTTTGTGGTTTTGTCTATAATTTTTATTTTTAATTAATTTTATTGGTACATTTTAGATATACCTAATGATCACATTCATCACAGGTAATTTGCGCCTGTACATGCTATGTCTTAATTCTTTTTCCCAATCTCCTCCCCTCCCTTCAATCCTTCTTCCCCTACTTATTTACAAAAGCTTTGTTTCCATTTTTCCTTCTTTTTCTTTTTTTTGTCCCTTCCTTCCTTTCTCCATTACCCCTCTCTTATTCCCCAATATCTACTATACATTCTGGTTGTTATTTACACTTTAGGTTTCTCATACCAGAGAAACAATGTGATATTTAAACATGTGTGTCTGATTTATTTCACTAAAGAGTATGGTCTCAAGGAGCATCCATTTACCTAGAACATTCTATAAATATGAATATTTTGTTACTGGGTGTTGGAGAAAGAACTGCTAAATAGCTATCAGCCCACAAGAGTAATTGTGTATAAAAGACACAATAATTTCTCCCTGAGAGAACAGAAGAGGATAGTTACTGGGGAATAGGCATACTCGGGTCTCCTCTGAGGCTGGAGCTCATTGGATTTATTAGCCAGAGCATGAGTACATAGATTTTTTCCCCATGTGTTATTATTATAGTAGTCTGCTTCCCTCTCCTAAAGACCTAACATAAAGGATGTAAGGCAAGATAAATACATAAATAAATAAAAGGTGTGTGGGGAAAGGGGAATCGTCAGATCCACTGTGTTTGGTTATAAAGGAAAGCCTGCCTACCCTGTCGCGTGGGTCTTTGGGGAAAGAACAGAGTGCGTTAGTTAGATCATGGGCTGCATGGGGAAGAAGACACCAGAACCCACTGTAGTTCAGTGTTTCTTGGGTGCATGGAGTCTGTGTGTGTGAAACAGAGACATGAATGGAGACAACAGGAAAGGGAAACACACAGGTTGCTTGGCACTGGCGGCCTGGGCTTGGCCTCCTTTGGGAGAGCATACAACCTGCTCAGGGATCTGGATCCAAAGGGCATCATTCCAGGGTGGACTGGAACCATCAGAACTGTGCAGGGACAGTCTTCAACAGCGACACTGTGTGGCAGCAAGCAGCAACGGTAGCAGCAAAACATCTAATTCTCGCCTCATTTAAATGTGAGTAGGACTGACCCCTTAGGGCGAGCAATTCCAGAAGGGGAAGTGATGCATTTTGCAATACTTCAGTTAAGGCTATATCAAGGATACCAGCTATTAGGTGCACAGTTCTTGGGGAAATAATATATGAGGGGTGATAGAAATATATAGTGAATGTTTAAATAAAAAAAATAGTACAGTAAGGGACACTTTGTTGTTAATTCCCCTCAAAATAGCTCCCTTTACTTTGAAAAAGCTTATCCTATCGTTCTTGCCACTTACTTTAGAAGCAGTTCTGTTCTTTACAACATATGATGAAAAATATGGTGAATACTACTGCTGAATGCCATTCAAAGGAAAGGCAGCTCATAAAGACATAATAGTGTGTTCTCATCCAACTTATCAAGATAGGGGCTGGGGATTTAGCTCAGCAGCACAGCGCCTGCCTGGCGAGTGCAAGGTTGTGAGTTTGATTCCCAGTACTGGAACCCCCCCCCCCCCAAAAAAGAATCAACTTATCAAGATATCTGGCACCATGAAACTTCTGGCTCTTCCCCAAAGTCAAAACTGTCCAAGAAAGGTAAATGTTTTGAGTTGGTTCAGCACATTGACGCAGCTACAAAAGGCATAATTGAAGACACACATGAAAGAGGACTTCCAGAACTGCTTTAGAAAGTGGCAAGGATGGCGGGCTAAGTGTGTTAGAAGAGGAATATTTTGTAGGGGATTAATAGCATTGTGTCTTTTACTGCATTAAATTTACAAAACACTTAAATACTCATTGTAGTTTCAATCACACTTCATATTCACATGACCTTGGTTTTCTCACAGATGTCTAAGAATTGTACCGGTAAAATGTGTCTTTACATTGTAGAGCTTTGGCAGTCTCCGCCTTACTTGATGGAGAGCTGTATCATCATTACCAATGGAAATGACTGGCATCTACCTCTTGGGTGATACAGAAGTATTCAGGGTGCTACACATCTGTAATCCCAGCACTTGGGAGGCTGAGGCATGAAATCTGAGATCAAGCAAGCCCTTGTCTCAAAAAAGAAAAAGAAAAAAAGGATGCCAGATACTTATGCAGTACTCTTTTCATGTTTGACTTGAGCCCCTGAAGGATGTAGAGCAAACTTCAAGTTTATAGGCTATAGAAGGGCAGAGGAAAATAAAGAAGACAAGAGGAAATACCCCTGGAAATTCAGAGTGTGGGATGGTCCAGAAGACAGCTGGCCTGCGCTCTTCACAAAGGTAACATCATGCAATGAAGTGTGTGCTGTAGGCATTGCTGTAGTCCAAAAAGCTGAAGATTTTTTTTTATCATTTTTAGATGGTTTCATTATACAGTTCAGGCTGGCCTTCAACTCACCTTGTAGTATAGGCTGGTCTCGAACTTGAAGTGATCCTCCTATCTCAGCCTCCCGAGTGCTGGGATTAGAGGCACATTTCACCACACCCAACTTAGCTGAAGATGTTTTGTCAGCCAAATGTGATGATTTCAAAAATAGCCACAAAACTAAATTTGGAAACAATTGTTGAATTTCACTTTCTACCAGGTACTAAATATCGTTGAGGATTATTGCTAATTTTCTCAGGCATAATAATAGCGTTGTTGTTCTAGAGGAGAATATCATTATTCTTGGGAGAGAGATAAGGTACACAGAAGTGGAGTGGAGTGCTTTGATTGTTGCCTCTTTTTTAGAATTTTAGAAGGAAATATATATACAAAGAGTGAGAAAGCAAATAGAACAAAATGTCATTAATTGTCAGAGATGGAGGGAATAAGGTGTTGATTATCCCATTCTTTTAATGTTTCTACTTGGTTCAAAATTTCAAAATGGAAAGCTAGACAGGAAAAAAGGAAAGGAGCTCAACACCCAGTAAGGGTGAGTTGGCTTCTAGCTGCAAGATGTAAGGATTCAAAGATTTGCTGGATAACTTAAGAAATGGGACAGTAATTGTATTGTGTGCTTCTCAGACAGCAGCTGCTCATGGTCCAAAACATAGCAGTTGACTCCTGTTCACTTTAATGCCCAGCGTGACAGACAGAGTTATGTGTCAGCTCTACAAAGCCATGACAAAGGCCACTTGCTTGCAGACGGGGTGGCATTCTCCTCGGGAGACAACCCTGCGAGCCACAGGGGCTGGGAGACCTGGGTGGCTGACAAGACCCCTCTTCGTCTGCAGACAGAGCTTCCTGGTAAGACGCCTGGGTTTGCAGGAGGCTTGAAAAATACACGGCCTGCCGTGCTGTCTTCATCGGGAATAGCGCGATTTGCCTTTTCAGGGACTTACCATGTTGACGTCAGGGCATGTGTTCCGCAGTTGCAGAGGAGGGTGAGAGAGTGAGAGCCTGCCGCTTTCCCTGCTGTGGTTCACACAGCTGTTGGCCCAATTTCTTCTGCAGACAGATGTTCCTGAGTGATTGTGTGTGCTTCCCATTTTGACAGCCTTTGTAGTGCCTCAGCTCTGGGCTTTAGAGATGGAAGGACAGTTTGTTCTTAAATGGGCTTCACAGATCCATCCCTGGGGCACCATGGGAGTTCAGGGATCCCATGGATCCCTTTTCACGGTTTTCCAAACCTCAGTCCCTCCACATCCTCCCCTCCCCTCCCCTCCCCTCCCCTATTCTACCCTCCCCTACCCTACCCTACCCTATTCTACCCTACCCTACCCTACCCTACCCTATTCTACCCTACCCTACCCTACCCTACCCTACTCTACCCTACCCTAGCACCTGGTGAAGGATTCCTAGCTTCCAGCAGATTCTGGAAAGAGGTTATAACTTAAGAATTGGGAGCCACTGGTCTAGACCAACCTCTAAACCCCACTTAACAAACAGAGGAACTGAGAGAGCTGATTAGGAAAAAGATAAATGTTTGAGAATTTTGGAATGTCTGTCTGTATAACGGGATAGAACTGACCTGGTTTCCTACCACTGCAGACTGAGCTAATGGTCTAGTAAAATTGGTTGAATGAAATAGAGCCACTAGGGAGTTTTTGCTGTCAGCATAGAAACCCCAAATAGCACAGACAAGTCTGGTTGAAATCCATGCGAAAGGGAACAAATTTAGGAGCAGCCCCTGCAGTCTCTAGAAGCCAGTGCTGTGGGGGAGATCAGTTAGGTTCTTTTGCCCGGGTTACATTTGAGCCCTGAAAAGAAATCCACTGCAGAATATCCACGTCCACATTCTCTGCCCTTCACCCACCCTCTCCCCCACCCAGCTCCATTCCCCTTGCTCCTTAGTAGTGCAATGTCCTTTCTGAAAGGAAACATTCTGATGTAAGTTTTTTGTGTTTACCAAATAAAGAAGATGAGACAAAACAGATTCTTTAAAATTGAAATGGTAGGGATGTGTGCAGGGTGGGGAACAAAGCCTTTTAAGTGAGGCTAGAAATCAGCCGGGTGCTGACCGGGTCAGCCATTCTGCCCCTCCCCTTCTGCCTCGTGCTGTCACCTTAGCTTCCTGTCAACTCCTCGTGAGCCCGGTGATTCAGGGGCCTTCCACAATCACTATTAGCAGCATCTTTCCATGACCAGGCTTGCTTCATGACAAGTTTTAAATACCCCATAGAGGACATCTGGTGGATTTTACATATATACACAGGAGGAGGAGGAGCAGGAGGAGGAGGAAAAACTCCCGCAGGCATATTCTGACATGCCACACTGGGGAAAAATACCTCAGTGGGCAGAGCATCTATGGCCACGGTCCCCAAAACACTTCTCAGCCAAGATCCAGTTTGAAGGGAAGGGTCCCATAGTTCTTTGACTTCAATTTCATGTCATGTCATGTCATTCATTCATTCACTCTCTCATGTGTTCACTCACCCACATGAAAATGTTCCTTGGATCATAGTTGCAGTACAGAACTACACTCTCACCATAATAATTCTGGGATCTGCATTTTGAGACTCAGGACCTTGTGTTCATCTTCAGCCTTTTCCCTCTCACTGGCTTCAGTCCATTCTCTCCCTGTTGTGCCCATCTGCCTGATTCTTCTGTATGTAACCCATCCTGTTACCCTTTCTTTCACTGGTGGGTCTGTGCATTTCCCACTTTGGCTTCCTCCATAATTTCCCATCTGAAGTCATCTGTACTTCTCACTGTAAAGTGTCTAGACTCCTCTTTCCACTGATGATGGGTTTGCATGCACTGTGGCCACAGTGAGCACATCAGTACTCTTTGGCATCTTCATGCCATTATGACTTAAAAAATCGAAACCCTTTTTATTAGTACATCTTTGCAAGACATAATGCTTATATTCTTCACGGGGGCCATTGTGACTTTTCTTGGACTTGCTATGCTTCTCTTTGAATCATTTCTCCTTCTCTTTTTTCTGCCTCTTGAAATTCTGCTCATTCAAGACTGAAGATATTTTGAGTTCAAATGTCACCTCATCTCAGAAGCCCTCAGAAGCTTTCATTCAACTTTACCTCCAGTGATTGCACATTTAAATTTGTACATGAATGGAACACCTGACTTCGTTTATATATTTTACATGTGGGGCTTTGAAAAGTCGGTGACACCTGTGTTTCTACAACTGGGGAATCGGCTGAGGATAATTTTTTCTTTCTTTGCTATTGTGTGGTGCAGGTACCATGCTAGGTACCATGAATGTGTCAACATTCTCGCGGTCTGTCTGGGTAGATGAACAGGTACCCTCTCCAACATCATGTGAAACAGCAATTGCATGATACAGGATTGATGCAAGGCTTGACCCTGCTTCACAGAGGCAGAGGTAAGTGAAAGAAATAGTTCTTTATTTTAATAATTCTAAGCATATGGATTTTATTTCTATCCTGAAGCTAGGATTTTGTTGTTGTTTTTGTTATTGTTTTGAGACAGAGTCTCTCTAGGTAGCCCAGGCTGGCCTTGAACGTGTGGTGATCATCCTGCCTCAGCCTCCTGGGTGCTGGTATTACAGATATGTGTGGCCATTCCAGCAGTGTAGCCACTTACAGTGATAGGGTTTCTTTCTCACCCCAAATCTGGCATTAATTTGGCAAAGTGTCTTACAGGACTGGGCACCTCACTATAAAGCATATAAGGTATTTAGACTCTTATGGTGGCACATAATAGATGCCAACTTAATTTTTTAAAATAAAAGTTATTTCCCTGTTGCTGCTGTAATAACCACCACAACATAGTGTATTAAAATAACACAAATTACCCACTTGTGGTGTTGGAGACCAGAAATCCAAATTGAGTCTTCAGGTACTAAGATCAAGATGTCAAATGTTTGGTTCTTTCTAAGGACTTGATGAGGAATCTCATCAAGCTTGCAGGGGCCTCCTGCATTCCTTGGCTTGTGGCCCTTTCCTCCATGTTTAAAGTTTATCAGTCTGGGGCTGGGAGTTTAGCTCAGTGGCACAGCACCTGCCTGGCAAGTGAAAGGTTGTGAGTTAGATTCCTGGTACCAAAACAAAAAAAGTTCATCACTCCAGTCTCTGGTTCTGTGCCACTTGGCCTGTTTTCTGACTCTGACTCTCATCTTCCTTTCATGAGAATCTCTGTGATTACATCAGACCCATCTGGATAATCCAGGATAATCTCTCCAATTTAATCACACCAGCAGAAACCTTTTTGGTAGCATGCACAGGTTCTGGGGATTAGGATATGGACTCCTTTGGAGGCCATTATTCAGTCTACCAAAGGGGGAATTTATGTAAGGATACTGCTATGTCTTTAGAGTCCAAAAGCAAGATTATAGCTATGTCTCTTTCTGTTTCCTACATCTGCTCTTGCCTCTGTGTCTATATTCCTTTCTCTCTTCTTGGCAGACTGACTTCCTCTGCAACCCAGCCAATACTGTATGTAGGGGCATGACTGCTGATGATTCCTGGGGTCCCACATTATGCTTTTACTCTCCAGGGAATGCCTGACCTGTTATCTCTAGTCCCGATTTCACAGGGAAAGACTAATTGGCACTCTTGGGTCAGTGCCACCCTTGCCAAGGATGTAGCCAAAGGTAAAGGTGTGGCCACAGGGCACGTCTCTCCCACACTGTACAAATACTAGCAAGGAGCCATTTCCAGGGACATAGAGCAAAGCATACACTAAAATTGGTCCTTGCTGAGGGTGACGATTTTCTTACTAGGAGACCGAGTAAGACAGTGACATTTCAAATAGAATGTTCTAGCACTTAGCCTGCATTTTTCAAAAAGTGAGTATTTAAGAAATCGTTCTTGAGTTTAGTTGTGAAATTTCTTCCAAATATCTTTTTTTTTTGTCTCTTTGAGACAGGGTTTCACTATGCAGTTCAGGCTGGCCTCAAACTCTCAGGGATCTTCCTGTCTCAGCCTCCTGAGTGCTGGGAGTACAGGCGTGCGGCGCCACTCCCAGCCCTTTTTAGTCACAGGGTTTTATCACCTTTGTCAGGAGTTCTGCAGTCAGTTGAGCTGCACCTTCCCTCTCCTCTGCCATGCCTTTTGTTATTGTAGTTGCTTGGTGGTAATGGGGACTGGACCCGGGGCCTTTGCAGTGAGTTATATCCCCAGATCTTTTATACTTTTTAATTTTGTGACAGGGTCTTGGTAAGTCTGTAAGTTTCCCAGCCTGTGCTCAAACTTTCGATCTTCCTGCCTCAGCCTCCCAAAGTGCTGGGATTACAAGTGTGCACCTCCGCACCTGACTGCTGTGCCATATTTTCACAGGTCATATTTTTTTGTCCATGATTTTTCAGTAACTTTTTTCTTATTTCAGAGTGAAGTTCACTGATGTATAAAATGGTGAATCCTCTGTTCTGCATGTGGGACAGAATAATAATGTTTATCTTATGGGTGTGTGGACAAGATTAGGTGAATAGAAGGGACTGTTATACTTTCCAAAATATCACCAGTGTGGGTCCTCTGCCCTGGTCAGGTCGTTTCCTACCCTTAACCAGACTTTGCCTCATTTTCCTGGCTGAGCCTTTGTCTCATCATTTTATATGTCTCATTTCATTTTAAATAATGAAAACATGCAATTATCTTTTTAGTCATGACTGTCTTGCCTTTTAAATAAAAATTTCAGGGACTGCGGCCCTGGAAATGCCCCGCTCTTCCTGTCTCCTTTAATTCTGCCTATTCCTTGGGCTCCAAGCTACGGGTACTCGTTTTCACCTCTTCATTCTAGGAGCAGGTCTATCTGCTTCACCCAGGGTCTAGGAGCAGTTCCCGAGTCCCACTTCCGGTCAAATGTGGGAACCCATCACACGCGGCCTTCCTGCTGCCATTTGCTTCGCTTGAACAGCTCGGATGCTGACGAACTAAACTTAGGCCGCTCATTCCCGTTTTTTCAACAGCTCTAATTAAATAATGAAAACATGCAATTATCTTTTTAGTCATGACTGTCTTGCCTTTTAAATAAAAATTTCAGTTCTTCTAGAGGAACAAAGTAGCTGTTCAAAAGGCATTGATTATATTTATGCCTAAGATTATAATTTCATGACATTAGTAGTTAAACCATCTCTACCATTTTTATGTCCTTTTATTCTCACTCCCTCCCCCACGCCCTCAGAGGAGACAATTTGCCATTACGAGGCTGGAGTACAGAGATGATGCCAAAACAGGTCTCTGAACAGAAAGAAGGCAAAGAAAATCTTCCCTGCTAATGTCTGTTCACTTTCTACCCAACTATATTCAGGTCGCTTTAGGTTACTTTTACACACAACATTTGGATTTATTTGTTTTTTTGTTTTTTGAGACAGAATCTTAGTTCAGGCTGAACTATGTATTTCAGGCTGGTCTTAAATTCACCGTGTAGTCCTGGCTGACCTACAATGTGTGGCGATCCTGCTGCTTCAGCTTCCTGAGTGCTGGGATTACAGGCGTGTGCCAGCACACTCAACTTCAATTTTTGAAAAGGAAAAAAAAGCCCTGCTGCAAAATTTTACTCCAGCTTGGGGTTTTCATCTTGTCTTTTTATTATTCATATACAAATGTGCCCATATCTATGCCTGGTTTGGTTTGCATAAAAATTGGGATTATATGCTGTTGTGTGTTTCTTTTTAAGAAGACTTAATAATATACCAATGATATCTCTTCATGTAAATATATAAAGATTTGATTTTTTATTTTTATTTATTTATTTTTTTTGAGATAGGGTCTCACTATACAGCCCAGGCCGGCCTTGAACACGTGATGATTCTCCTGTCTCAGCCTCCCTAGTGCTGGGATTATAGATGTGCACCTCTATGACTGGCTTACAAATATTTAATATTTTTAACAGCTCTGTAGTATGGTGTAACTGATTTATCTTTTTCTCCTATTAAACAATTCGTATGTTGTTCAAATGGCTCTTGAATTCTGATCCCTTTACTTAAGAAGATATTAAAAAGTTAAAAGATCCCTGTACTCCTACCCACAAATTCATTCAGTGTTTTTGTTTGTTTTGAGACAAGGTCTTGCTATTCAGTCAGGCTGGTCTTCAACTCATGATTCTCCTGCTTCAGCCTCCTGAGCGCTGGGATTGTAAACGTGCCAACAAATCACTCAGTGTTATAGGTTGATTTTTTTTCCACACAATTCATGTGTTGAAATCTTAGTGCCGAGATCCTCATTTGGGACCAGGGTTCTTGTAGGTGACACTGGTGAAGATGAGGTCTTGTCCCAGAGTAGGGCTGGTGTAGGTATCATTTTCAAAAGGGGAAATTTGGAGACTGAACAGGAAGGGTGGCTATGAAAGTGGGAGTAGGGCTTGGAGCTCAGGGAGCAGGGCTCAGGGTGCCCTACAAGCCAAGGGCAGCAAGGTGACCAGCACTTCCCACAAACTGGCCAAGAACACAGAACGTGTCCTCTCTCATAGCCCGCAGAAGGGCCAGCCCTGTGGGCACCTGGACCTCAGACTTCTGGCCTCTGGAATTGTGAGACGATACAGTTTAAACCACCTGGTTTATGGAATAGGGTTAAGGCAGCCAGAACAAACTAGTATACTTAGATTTCTTTTTTCCCTTTTTATACTGGGGATTGAATTTATGGCCTTTGCATGGAGCTACGTCCCCAGCCCTTTAAAAATTTTTTGTTTGTTTGTTTTTGTTTTTCTTCCAGTCCCAGGAATCGAACTCATGACCTTGCACTTTCCAGGCAGGCACTTTGCCACTGAGCTAAATCCCCAGCCCTAAGCCCTTTTAAAATTTTGAGGTAGGGTTTTCCTAAGTTACCCAGGCTGGGTTCATATTTGTACTCTTCCTGCCTCAGCCTCCCAAAGTCTTGGGATTACAGGGATGGGCCACTAAGCCTGGCTTAGTACCCTTAGGTGTTTTTTTTTTTGTTTTTGTTTTTGTTTTTAATAGCTGTTTAATTTTTGAGACGAAGGGCATTGAAGGTTCTGATTTTGAGTGAGGTTCTTCTAGAGTGACTGCATGGTATCACGGTGTCTCTCTGTCCCAATAACGTGTTGAAAGGTGATATTGATGACACAGCCCAAGGCTTGGAGGAAGTGACTTAAACTCTAGAAAGTGATACATTAGATGTTTAGACAAAGACCACATTAACCAGCAGTGGTAAAAAAAAGAAAAATGTAAAAAAGGAATAGTTACCGAGATTTCCAATGATAAGGGTGTGGTAAGCCAGGCCTTTCTTTACATGGGTGGACCATGTTCTCTCTTTAAATCATGTGCGGTGATAAAAACAAGTAACAACAAATTAGCTCCAGAGAATTCGCTCTTCTCCCTATGTCCATCAGTATCTCCTTCAAGGAAAACTCGTGTTGATTTAAACCTGAGATTTGGGCAGCAAATGATTATGTTCCAGGGCACACTGTTGAATGTTGCAAGTTTTACATTAATATGCATATGCATAAGCATAGGCAACTTGTTGTTAGAAAACCATGTTAAGCATTCCTTGTAAAAAAATGAACTGAGCACAGCAAATAGGAGGACCACAGACGAAAGGTGCTAGTGGGAGCCAACCCCCACCCCCCGTTCTTGTGATCTGAGTTGTGGGAATGCAGCCTGTGAGGCTGGGACTCCTTGAAAGCTCTAAATAGGATGAGCATCGTGACTTCTGGGTGCTAATCAAATTCATATTCTCCTTCATTGGAGGGCCCTCCCCCGACCAGTCAAACACCCTGGAGTGTCCACACTCTCTCTGTAGAGTCCACATTTTCCTGCACCACAGGGCCCTGTTACCCCTTTGAATGTCTAGGCTCATGTGTTTCATGCTCTATTCCTTAGGCAACTAAATAGTAATCGGAAACTGTATATGATTACGTTTCCCTTATGGATGGATTTAAACCTCCAAGAGGCAAAACCTTTTCTTAATTTCTCTATCTTGGCACACTACTGGGCATATAGTTGGTGCTTGATGATTTTTTTTTTAAATAAAGGATTAGCCAGATGTAGTATAGTATTGACTACATGGGAGGTTGAGGAAAAGAGTCACCTGAGCCCAGGAGTTCAGTGTCAGCCTGGACAATATACTGAGACTTATTTTAAAAATAATTGCATGCATATGTATTTTGCAATTTTTCTGCCCATACTACTTGGAATTTGAATATTTGTAAGAGCAGGGGACATTGTTTATTCTTCTTAGCAGGAGCTATGACCAGGGTTACCTAATGGAAATGCTATTTAGCTCCTCCTCATCTCTCAGCTCTCTCAAAGCCAATCCAATGAAAAAAACCCTAATAGTATATTTTAAAATGAATCATGAGAACATGATTGCTATACACCTTTAGTGTCAAGAAATGTTCCTCTTATCTCTCTTTTCTATTCAGATTGCTACCATAAGCCTTTCCTACTTAGAAATTATAGCGCTATTATTACTTTTTCTACATCCATTAATACAGGTGTCCAAGGCTCTAGTCTATGTAGGGGTGGTTAATGAGTGAAGGAACCCAGAGATAAGAGATGGTAGGGAGTGTCCAGGTCTAAGGTGTGTGGGAGAAGATGCATTCTCTCACCTACCATGGCACTCGGGGTGAAAGGTTCAGGTTATTATAGCTGTGTGAGAATATAACTCTTATCACCAGATTTTCAGATATTTCAAGAGATGCCAGAAATCTAGAATTATATATGAAATCTGTTAAAAATCACTGCACTGGCATTCATCCTTTGCTAGTTAGATATGGTCCAACAGGCCACCAGTTTGTAAGCATGCTTGACTGCAACATAATTTATGAAGCCCTAAGCAATTCTATCCAGGATCCCCTGAAGTTCTTAGCACGAGCATGGTGGAAATCAGATGCAGACAAATAAATTCACAAGGAAGTCCAAGTCATGTTTTAAACTACTGAGTTTTTTTTTTTATTGCAAAACATTTGTTACAGAAATTTCAGAAAGTTTTTCCGGTGGTATCTGCCAACTTCTGCTTTGAATTATATGTCTAAACATACAAGCTCAAAGTGCATTGTGAATCCAGTCATAGATCTTTAAAAAAGAACAATTCCTCTAAGGATTTATATATATTTATAGTGTCAATAGATATGCAAACCGCTGTCTATCCATATGCAAAGAAGGAAAAGATGTATATATATATATATATTTAGCAAACCCAATTTCAAAATCATCGTATTTATAGGAATTCATTTAAAAATGAGATCTGAATAATTTTTCCCCTTATAAACTATGGTTAGAACATTTACAAATAAGAGTCTAAGTGCTGTGTGATGAAATGGCTGTGAGTCGAGTGTACTGCACGCATCGTGTTGCGCAGCGGTAGCAGCAATAAAAACTCAGGTCGGATGCTATGGTGATAGGAAGCAGGCAGGTGAGTCTTCACACAAGGCTACGGTGCTCCCCCACAGAGATCCTGCGTTTGGGTCCAGAATGATGTGACTTACAAATGTACATACACACATCATTGAGCAGATCCTGAGTAACCCTGCATAGAGGGAGTTCTGCTCCCAGTTCTCTGTATTTCAGGAGTATACTCGTTAAGTCACAATCAGGAAACTGTGACCCCGGGTGGTGCTAAGTCAGGGATCCCAGTTATGCCCTTGGGAATGCTGTTGGCAGACACACTGGTATGGCCAGCACAGTGTGTGAGAACACGAGTTTGAGCTGGGCTTGGTGGTTTGTTCTCATGGACCAAACCACTGAGGAGGCTAAGGAGGAAGGATCACTTGAGCCCAAGGAGTTTGAGACCAGCCTGGGCAACATAGTGAGACCGTGTTAGACAAAGAAAAAGAAAAAAAGGAAGAGACAAAATCTGAATTTGAATATCTTTGTGGCAGTGTGTGGAATCTTCAGCCCTCCGGATCCTATTTCTGCTGTCTTTCACCGTGCCTATTCCCAGCTTTCTGTTCTGGACCTGGCCCCACATTGAGTCCTGCAGTCCCTTGATCTAGATGCAGATGCTCCTGTTGTACACTAAGCTGGTGAAGGTGTGAGAGACTCTTTTGGGATTCAAATAGGCAAAGAATCGGATGAGGCAGATGTGTGTGCAAGCCAAATCAGGAGGGACTAAGTTAGTGGGAAGACTGGGCCAAGGTTAAAGTCTGAATATTTGGCTTTTATCAGGTAGTTGCTATTTCGCTTGCTGTGTCGGGCTCCACAAGGTGCTGAGGTTATGGAAGTCAAGATCTGTTGGCCTCACAAAGAAAGAGCTAGTGTTGGACTAACAGAAAAGAAGGAAGCAAAGGGGGTGAAGAAGGCTGAATTTTCATCTGTGTTCTCAGCAGCTGCCCCACCTGGATGGCTGAGGTTGTGGCTGGTGCGGAGGCCCCTCCAAAGCCTAAGGACTTGTAGACACACACAGGTCATTTTCCCTTTCCAGCACAGACTGCAATGTATAACAGGCTACAGATTTAAGGTAGCTGGTCAGACTTGCTAAGTTAGGGAAAGGAAAACTCATCCCACTGTTATTGCATTTGCATTACTCGATCAGCTAATTGTCTCTTAGATAATTCATTAAAGTTGTTACATCTTGATTTTGTTAGCAATATGTGCGAGGAAATCATCAGTGAAAGGTAACCCAATTACTTTCTGGGAAAAAAGAAGGAAAATAAAATTTAAAAATCTTGTTTTTCTTAAATCAGAACCAACTCTGTTGGATGATTCCAATCGGAGACATAGAATGTTTGACTTGTAGAAGAAAGAAAAAAGATAAAGCAAAAATGTTGGGGGGCAGAGAGACAGAGAGAGAAAGAAAGAAAGAAAGA